GATGATGTTAAAATCCTTGCACGAGAAAAACATCTGATGAAAAGAACTTTCTTAGAAATGGCCTTTATATCACAATGCAATAATTGCATAAATAAAAAAACGGATATCAATCATTTGAGTGAGATTTATTCCTTTTTACTGTCTTTAGATAACTCATAATCAATTCAAATTTCAGTTTTCAACGTTGGTACACATTGTCGGTTGGTACCACTGTTTCGTGCATTTTGACATGACAATTGTCTTCACACACACTGTCATATGTCAGTCATATTCATTTTTCAAAAAAACTCATTTCCCGGCACCATTTGCAATAACCTTATCTGCTAACAATTCCAACCATGTGGTAGAAGATGTGACTTTTAACTAGTTTATAATATTTTAACGTGTGATTCAATGTAATGTAATTGTATTTTTATCGATGATTTTTCGGCTTTTTCATGTTATGTACCAAGACACATAAAGAAATTATACATGAACATCATGTCAGCCATCCTCAACAAAGTTGTAAGTACACAAAGATTTCATTACTTTAACTACATGATACTCATGAATAATCACTTTACAGACTCCCTGATGATGAAAATAAAGATTTTCGAAAGCTTGGACCAACTTTAAAGAGTACTCTTTTTGACTTTGCTGCAGTCCCCAATATTCCCTAGTTTTATATATATATATATATAAATCTTCCATACATGCACCGAACTATTCGCTCTCGCAGTTCTTCTTTGGTAGGCACTGGAGTACTATACGCCCTTTCTTCTGAAACACCTCATGAAGAAAGTCGAACGGCCTGAGTTGAATGAGCTGGCGCCCCGTCCAGTTGGAACCATGAATTCCTATATTCCTCTAAATGCAAATTTTCGAGGAAATCTGTCACAGTCGTCCTCAATATCTTGATATATCTCTCAGCATTCAGTGTGCCATCGTAAATGAAAAATCTGATTCTATTATTTTTTCAAATACAGAAAACATTTAGGTCGAATTTTCCTTGAAAACCCATTTCTTTTGTTATATGGAAATTATGATCATTCCAAAAATGCTCATTTTTTCTATTGAAAATCCCATCCCTTCCGAATTTTGATTCGTCGCTCCAAATTATTTTCGACAAAAATTCCGGATCCTTCTGGGTATGCATTAAAAAGGGATTCGCAAAAATGCAATTTCCGCTCGAAGTCTTCTGCATTCAGAGCTTGAACTTTACTGAATTTATACAGATGCATTTTGTGATTTCTCAAAATTCTTTGTTCTGAAGCATGTAATACACCCAAATCTTTTTCTGGACTAAGAATGGATGCTCCTGGATATGCATGAAAATATGCCAGAACGTCAACAATATTGTCTTCATTCGAAGTATCAGGTTATTCTGGTGATGTTGGAGGCGCTCTTTCAACTTTGAGCCACAGTTGATAAAATTATTTTGTGATCTAACAAACTGTATAATCAATAACTTCATAAAAACTTCGTTTGAATAATCGACATTCGCGTTCATTCTGGGAGATTTTTTGAAACACTGTCAATAACAATCACTGAATTACTCATTGATGTCACCGAACTGATATTTCCATGGATATCTAAAATTTAATTCTTCATAAAATTATATTTTTCACAAAAAGCGGCTTTATGAAGAAAACTTGATGATTCAGGTAAAGATACATGCTATGTCATCTTCTAGCCTTTTTATTTGTCTTTCAATTCATCGAGTGAAAATCATTGGGTTCCATTTGAAAAAATGAACTTTTGACCACTTGTATGAACAACGGATATGATTATAATTCCAGCACGCCCTCTATGATATGGAGGCGACTTCTTGGTGTAAATTGAATACATATAGCCTGTCCAAACCATCACTAAAATATCAGCCCTTTATGATTCGAGAGCCCTGATTCACATAAGTTCAACTATAGGGATATGTTTTGGATCATATTTAACACAAATTATTTTTCATCTCGAGAAATGATAGAGATAGGTGAAGCGATTTATTGACTTGATAGTATTGCAATAAAAAGACAATTCTGAAAATTTTTCAATACTTATACGGGATCTTTCACTCAAAAAAATGAAGTTGCTAGGACTTTTTGATAGGAAAGGCAACGTCGCAATTTCGAAAATATTTCAGATCGATATAACAAATGATAAAATGTGAGATGCGAAATTTAAAGAAAAATCCTGCGTTGCGTTCTCCATAAACGTCTAACGTACCATCGACCGTGAGTATATCGTTGAATTAATACCAAATTTTCCTATGCAAGACGTTTATCTCATGATAACTTATCGATTAGAAATTTCTGAATAAAATAATATATATATATTCCTTTCGATCACGAATATGGCTTCAGAATTATGATAATTTTCAAGATCAGAAGTATGCAAATATTTTATACAGGGTGATTCTTTAGAGGACCCAAATATCCAAATAGCAAATAGGTGTAATAAAGACGAGTTGATGTATTCATATATTTGATTTTTTTTTATATCAGGGTATCATTTGAAATTGTGAAATTGCTATATAATTGTTATGGCTGACATTTCAGAAATGATTCATCGTAATTGGCTGAAATACGGTAGCGACGTTTCTTCATTTAGATTATTCAAGATGTCAAATCATGAAAGAAAATACAGATTCGGACTTGAGAAGAATCAATTTCCTATTATCATGTTAAAGAAGTTCGCTTTGTGATCACTTCTCTCGGAAAAAAATATCAGGTTGAGTAAGATCAGACAAAAACCCGGAACTCTCCGCAATATCTCTAAGTAGTTATCTTCAGGATCAAAATGCGAAATCCTCCTCCTATAGGCTCTCACCATGGGAAATACTCTCTGGAGTCGTCCGAAAGAAATCGCGGAGATGTCGCCTCAGATTTGATATATTCCTCATTATTGCGAATCCTTGAGGTTATCTATAACAGGAAATGAATAGGCATTTCTTTCTGCGAGCACCCAAGGATATCCTGGACGTAACAAGATCGAGAATTTCCCATTCCTACAAAAATATCGAGTTATTTTTTTCAATAGCCTTTATAATTCAAATACTGGGTGTCCCAAGTTATCGTTTACAGGCAATATCTCGCCTATTTGTCAAGGTATCAAAAGCATTGAAAAACTGCATTAAATGGCATAAAATAACCTTCTTAATGGCTTATGAAGAATGTGATATATTTGGCAGCCCCCGGAATGGTAGATACTGATCAGTTTTTATTTTCTAGTAGCATATTGTCTCTGAAAATTGCGTGTCAATCTATTTGGAATACAACAATATAGCACATACTTGGTGTTTTGTTCTTGATAACAACAAAAACATGAACATTTTGTGACTTTTTTACGTTACTCAAATGACAAATTGCTTTCACCCATGTGTTCAGGAAGTTCACAAATAAGAAGTATGGATTGCATTTTTGTTTCAAAATATTAATGTCAGATATTCCATTTTGAACTGCAGAACATCAATCATTGTAGACGGTACCTACCTAGTGTAATAATTAATCTAATTTCATTGTGGGACATTTTTACGAACATGGAAGGAGGCAATTTTCAATCGATGTAACATAAATGAGGTCAAGAATTCCTATTGTTAATGTTGTTATTAATGAACAAAATACAAAGTACCGATGTGCTATCGTTCATTCCCGAAATAGGATGATTGGCAATTTTCAATGACAATATACAGGGAGTCCATTAAATTAAAATTGAGGAGTTGCTACCAGGTGGCTGTCGAATCTAATAAACTTTTTTTTGAGTCATATAGAAAGTTCTCTGATGTCATTCGAAGCATTTTTACTATTTTTTGTTCATCTTGTCGAGTAAGCAAGTTTTTGCCGGTACCTTCACGATAACTTGGGACACCTAGTATTAACATGAAATAGGAGTCATTAATCTATGATAATAATAATTGTATACTAGATACTAGATTTTCTCAATGTCTCAGAGAATGTGTTCAACAGGTCATATTATTATCTCTCCGCCATTATGGAAGATTATTTCAAATTTTGCAGTGATTTAATGATAATTAATTATCTGCTCTGACGAAAAACACAAAAATGTTTCAATTCAGGTGGGATCGAGAATCAAATACCTACTTCCAATTCGTGGGTAGATATCGGACGACCTTTATTTTTAAAGAATACCCGGCCAACTCCTCGGAGATTTTTTCAAGTGATAAAGTTTACTTGATCAATGTCTTGCTATAGAATAATATATACTTGAAGCTCATTACGTTGATCTAACTCTAAGTTTGGTAACTCAATGTTTTTCGCTGAAACAAATATCCAGTAAATTTAACTCCAATCCAAGCAATAAAGCTGGCGCTAGTTAGACTTCGCCGACAGGAGACTGCTGATAACCAATGACTTCTCAAAAATTGAACACCTTACCAAAGAGGAGAGGGGAAAGAGTTTCCACTTGGAGTATTTATGAATGAAATAGTGAAACTTAGATGATGACCTTGAAATAACCCAAATGAATGAACTGGCACGATGGGTTACGCTCCGCTCATTGGTTGGAAGCAGGTTGAAGTATTGATTTTTTGAAACTGACATACGTATTGAAGGCGCGCTCACAACTTACAAGTAAGCGATCCGCGTTCAACATATCAAATCCTCATTGGTGGATAGATTGACAGCCGTCGCGTAAATGTATGTTCACCCAATCACAACACGATTCTACAAAATTAGGTGGACATTGTGAATCTACCTTAGAATAGTTTATTTACAAGTGTCAATGGAATAATAGGAATTAATAATAATTCATTTTGACTTGCCAATGAATCAGAAACTTAAGCAGGACATGAAGATATTTTGTTTTTGTGAACGATAAATCATCATTTACCTATGTGCAATGTGGAATTTCTCTTTGTAATTTTAGGTTAGGAACAGATCTCAGGATATCTTCTAAATGAACATCTTCAATTCATCTTATTTTTCCATAAGCTGATGAATCATTCTGCTCAGTCTTACTGAAGGAAATAAAATGAATCATTTAAGAAATTCCTTGAAATTATTTCCTTCAGTATTCAAGGTAGGTTTGCAGATATGAAATAAAAATAACCATCATTTCGAATGAAGATTTTAATCAAATCAATAACAAAATTAATCAGTAAAATGTAGGAAATAGTTTTCAATATACCACATTTATTTTCTTGATTAATTTGATTTTTCTTGGTGTGATAGCTGAAAGTTGCTTTTCTGTCTGCACTTGAGAATCAGACTTCTGCACAAGTGTCTGTGTTCCTGTGTCCACCATATCTGGTTCTGTTTGGGTACCAATGCTTCTTGCTCTTGTATCCATCCCATCTTCAGAGCTATCATCTATTTCCATGAAATGACCTACTTTCTATATTTTCATCACTGAAATATGAATGCTCCTCTTGTATGGAGCCTGATAAAGATACCTATGAGATCAAGTGCAAGTATGTAAAATACAATGAAATCAGGACCAATTTACCACCAAGTTCAGTATAGGAACAGCATTTTCTTTCAGTTTGTGCTTTTCTATCAAATGATCCTCAAAATGTAGACTGCAAATTCTCATGCTTCCATACAATTTCATAGGATCAGTAGCCCTGATCAATTCATCATTGCACGCCAGTTGCCATGAATTCATTCTCACTTCTTGGGTCCTAGGATTAGGGAACCTAAAAAATCTCAATGGTGTATGTTGATTATTATCTAAGTACTTACTCTTGCAGTCTTTGACTGCACATTTTAGTCCTCCAGGTTTCCCCATTGCCAAGTTTATCTACAAAAATATATTATTTCTACCTCAGCAACCCTAGACACTAGAAAAAATCAAATATACCTACACAGGTTTGTTAATCTGTGCTTATACCACAATATTTTGAGGTTATGTAAAATGATAACAAGAAACGAAAAATGATGATGATTCCACTGAAACTTAGCAGAAAAACACAAGTCTATAAAAATAATAATCGCTTTTGTGCAGATTAAATCCACTTTTGTCACTGTTGAAAAATTTGCCAAATCTCTGAGAAGAAATTAGTTGACAAACAGTAAACATACAGCTGACATCTGATCGTAGTAAAAATTCAAGGTCATTTGTCAGTTTTCCCGCGCATTTGAATTGGAGCTTCTTGGTGACTAACCTATATTCTTTGACCTTACCATATTAGTGGCGATCATGTGGCGATTGATGCAAATATCGCTCTTAAAGGCCTCGTTATAAGGTGATGTACACGGATTCCTGAACAATTCATAGTTGCGAGCACTTGAAGAGTTCGCTATTAGTAATTGATGCGAATTTCCCAAAGTTCTCTTCACAAGGCGATGCGTGCGAGCATCTCAAACAGCTCGTAGTCGCGAGCACTTAAAGACCTCGCCAGAAGCAATTGATGCGAATCTCCCAATGTCCTCGTCACAAAGCAATGTATGCGAATTTCTCAAACAGCTCATGATTGCGAGCACTTTCAGTTATCGCCAGTGGCGATGGAAGCGAATATCTCAAAGTGCGCGCCTGAGGGCATTGTATGAGAATTTCTGAGTGCGATATCTTCAAGACCTCGCTGAGCTCAGCCTAGGTGGTGGACATTTGACCTAGATATAGCACTCTCGGCGATCTCTCAAAGAAGTTACAAAAGGCATCACAATTTCCTAAAAGGATTTCTTCAAGATATCTTTAGGACCTCTTTGTGCTGGCTGGGAAGCCATGGCAACAGTTTCCCAGTTTGCACGGACACTCTGACCGATTCAATGAAACAATATCGAACAGTAACGTTTGAATGAATTCCCAATCTGCACCTGGCAGATGACTCTCATTTCTAAGTAGATTCGTGTAAATTAATTCCCGGTCCATTTTTGTTGTATAGAAATTGACAAAAGAAAGTGAGTAGTTCTAGTTATAACCCTTCTTTATACATTTGTCTTATCCTAGTTAACATACTAACTCGTTGATCAAACGGTTGGAATAGTGAAAATAACGTTACTGGTTGAGAAATGTAACGTTGGAATTTGGTTGAAGATAATCAAGAAATGAATACGTTAGTTGAACGTTTCATTCTCAACAATTCATAACTCCGTGTTCATCTACGCCCACTATCAAACGTTGACACGACACTTTCACAACGTACGGTAGAAAAAATGCTAAAAATATTGTCTTCAACGTTAGAAAAATGATAGAATGAAAAAACAAATTCTTGTTCATTTCTATATACAAACAGGGTGGCATTGAAATGAGTGCAAATATTTCAAACACTGAGAAAGCTAGACGTGTACTATCGAATGGCCCTAATGAAAAAAAATTCAGAGATTGAAATGAAATTTGAGGTCAGACCCCTTTTTCCACCCAGAGTTTTTCACTGTAACAAATCTGACGTCACATCTGTTCAAATTACCATGCAGTAGGCACAATCACGCGAATTTCAATCATTAAAATTGTTTCATAGTGGCGTACTTGATTTTTTCTCCTATTTCGTTCAATTTTCTGGATGGAATTTCCCGTTACTTAGAAGAATTAGGAAAAATCTGATATCATGGGAATAATCCTTAGACTGTATAAAATAAATGTGCCGAATATGTGCACTTATTTCAAAAACACCTTGTATATATCGATATATCGATATTTTTGCACAGCCCCAGTTTGAACACTTGCTGATGACATGACCTCTAATGACCGCTGTTCAAATCGATGTCTGCTGGTGTCGCCAACTTTTGGTTTGATCGCGGATCTCTCCTTGTATGATTGCCCTGACATCATTCCATATTTTGTATCCAGATAGAGTTTTGTGCGATAGAACTACCTACTACTATCTTGCATTTTTGTTGAGAAATTGATTCCACTTTCGAAATGTTCTGATTGTTTTTATTGGTACTTACTATAGTATCTACTGATGGATGAAAACGAGAGTGAGTACTGAGTATGTAGATATTTTAGTTATGTTCGAATGAGTAGGTACATTCCTTTTTGAAAATCATCATAACTTTTCGTACAGAAACGCCATCAAAATTATTCAGTTGAAATATTGATCATGATACACTCGTAATGATAAATATACATGAAGTGTCATTGAGCAATCAAGATTGATGTGACTGAAAAAGCTACCAAGGAAAAATTATAGGCATTACCAAAAATAATCGACAGCACTAGTTGTTTAACTCATGACGCCTCTGTAAGCGAGCATTTTCATAACAGTTTCGGAAAATGAAATCATGAGAAGGCTACCTATATACATATATGAAGAATAACCAATACATTGAGTGTGTAAGTACAATGATGTCAAAAATCATTTGTTATTATACTTACGTTTCGTTTTAGTTCGAAAAAACATTTCGAATCATTTCTGGAACGTATTCCATTCAATTGCATGTATAAAAAAACAACATTTCCAAAACAGTTCCAGAAACTTGATGTCGATAGTGAAATCTTGTTAGAGAAATCGACATTTCATAATACCCCTCTACTTATGATACATAGCTCCATGATGTAGGTAGTATGAATGATACTTAATCCATTCAAGATGAATATGTGTTTATTTGATTGCAGAAACGACGGCATCAGGAAAATTGGCCCTCATTACTCTCAACACAGACTCTCTACGAAGTGGATCAGAGAATATCTCTTTCAAACCCATCAGTCTCAGAGTAGAAGATTCTTCTCTGAATGAGAGGCTGCATCATGATGTGTGAGTACCGTGATGGGTATAGTATCGAAAATATATTTGATCTGTTATCATACCTTCAATAAAGTCAATACGATGAAAAACATAACAAGATATATTTATTTGCAGGAATAACGACTCTTCCCCCACTTTACTCTCAACAGCGAGTCCATGAAATGAATCAGGATACAGAATCTGATGAAAAATTTAGTATGAGTATTCTGGCTGAATTTCAGATACAGTTGTCCATTCAATCGTACCGACAATAGGAATGATACATTGGAAATCATGAAAATGATTCCTGCCCAGATATTGATTGATTGGAACTTATAATGATGTTGATGCGAAACGATAATGACGTGAGGATTTCCATCAGATCATAGAAGGGTGTTATGTGAATGCTTGGTACCATTTGTGGTGCACCCTGCTCTATCTGTAACAAGGTTAGTGCTGATGTAAATTTCATTCTTCCGTTGCTGATCCAATATTCAGTTCATTGTTCAGGAATCAGTTCATGCATTTTCGCCATCTCTGCGAGAGATATGGATAAAACAGCTGTTCTTATAAAACTTCAATGTTTTTCACATAATTATCTATGCTGATTATTTGCAAGTGCTCGTTGAAGGGAAGTGTCAGCTAAAGTATTTGAGATATTCTCTTGTAATTGCGGCGTGCAAACTGTACTTCTCATATATCAGCATCAGAACTGTTTTCCCAAATTCTCCTATGATCATGGAGAAAGTCAATAATATCACCTCAATATCAACTAGAATCGCTCATCATACTCCCTTGGAGGCTATCTTCACCAATTTGACCTGTCTCCTGAGTTGGAATATTATGATAATATGATAATAAGATAATCTGTCCAGATATGACCTTCTGGCTTCTAGAGCACTGCAGTACGCAAGACCATTTATCAGATGCATATATGCGTACTCAATGAACGTGTATCCCATATTTTGTATGAATCAAATTGAAAGATATATTTTTTTGATACCGCTCAATGTTCAGTTTGTTCCACTAGGGAGATGAGCACAAGATTTATGGCGGCGGCTGGCGTTCTATAGCCAAGGCGTTACCGAAACTACGAAACCAGACAAGGCATTGAATCTGTTTTTTGACTATTTGAAACATAAACTCTCCTCACCACATTCGATCCAATTTCACGCAACGTTTCAATTATTCATCGTTTTGTGTTCTCCCGAATTCATTGTCAATTTTGATTATCAATTTGATTCCAATTTTCACTTGAAACGTAGCAACAAACTTTTTCTGCCTATGCAGTTCTTTCGCTGCCTTGGCAGATGAAGAAAAACTTCCCTATCTCTATTCCTATTATTTTCATTAAAAAGCCACTTCCATTATCATTAGGATGAAAAGTAATTTGTTCATTACTATACTCCTCGAAAACGGCTTCCATTGAATAATGAGTGAACCCGAGTAGTTCAATGGAAGGCGCTATAACTTTCGCAACATGGGGAAGCATCGTTATCGTTCAGGTTGACAACCGATGTGATATACCATCTAGCCCACCCTTCAATCACATATTATGTGAAAGTTTTTCACATGCTCTGGTTATCGACACTTATCGTGTCCCATCTAATGCACGCAGATTTTCTAGTGATGGATGACGTGAAGGAAATAAGCCTCACTGTTGACTCTATATATAACTCTTACACCGTTGGATCATCAATATTTCCTGATATATCATGCACACGACATGAATGTCGTTCTTGTCGTCGGTAATAGGACCGAACAGTAGGGTGCAAAGTATTACTCACGATAGATATCTGGAAAACAAAATAGAAATCGTAACTAAAAACTTCTGACTGCTAGTGAGAGTTCCACAAGTAACTAGATACGATCTACGGGTATCATAATAATTCCATATACAAGAGATATCTGATTTTCCAACATGACACATGGGTGATTCACTAGTTTCATTGAAAGCAGAATCATTTCATTCGATTGGAATATTATTGATTATTTGATTCGCATCGAAATTCATTCCACTAGGACACCGTGCATATCAGATTTTTTCAAATTATTCTGTACAGAGTTAATGTTGATTGGTATTCCGATAGTGAATCAGT